TAGATGGTACCAAATTATTGTCCAAGAAGGACATAAAATAAATTGTAGTCCATAATGAACATAATAAATCATCGAGGGAATGGGTTAAAACCCATAAGGGAGTCACCATGGGCGTTAGCTCCTTAGTTTTGGTTGGTTTAAGAGTTGTGCAACATCATGTTCCTGTGCAATACAATCAAATAAAGCATTAAAATCAGGTAACTGGGACTAGTGTTACTTATCTCTAACATCTAATAAACCACTAACATATTGCAAATCTAAGGGAAACGGGATATGGATGATGAGTCCTTAAAATTGAATAATAATTAAAAAAAACTAATCTATATTATCATACAACTAGAAATCATAATAAAAAAAATGCCTCCCAATAAGCGTTTTATTTAAAGTCATTAGCTTGACTTTGTTTTTTCGACATCATGAAATTTTGAAAAACGCTTTTGATGTCTTGCTCAATTTTACTCTTCTGACTTTGCTCCACTCTTCATTGCTTCTACAAATTTTAACACTGCCCTCTCCAATGTGATATGATATACCAATCACCTCCGATTTGAATTCAACTACGTAAACTTCTTCCTTCTCTTCGGGCTTAATTACAAATTCAATGATAGCCCAATCAATGAAGTCTACAGAATGTGGGTTAAGGTTGTCTTCATTAATTGCCTCGTCTTCACTTTGTTCCTTTGTAATTGATCTTTCATCACCTTTGTTCTCGTCTTCCATAATTGATATCTCCTCGGGTTGAATGGAAGATTCACAATTTAATTCCACGGGCAATGTAAACTCTTTTTCAAATTTTTCGAGTGGATTGTATCTCCTCCTTTTAAATTCAATCCAGAATATGCCATCACGTGTAGTATTTTGCAATTGCCTCCTCGTTTAACATGGAAGGACCAAATTCCACAAACGTGTCGAAAGGGATACACTTGCCCACAGGCATGTAGGCTTCAAAAGATGTGTCAATTGCTAGTCTTCGACATCTTAAATATTGTTTAAACCGCAGGAGCTTGAGTTGAAAGGGTTCAGTGCATGTATTCACGCAGTAACCAGTATAATGCACTCCATAACATAATTCACAATATATATCTTCTTCCTCGTCGTCCATGTCGAGATTATTTATTGCAAAAATATTTTTACCATGACGCGTCAGAATCTTAGATGCATTGCTAAACAGTACCTGAATAGAATATCAAATAAGAGAGATCAGTGTTGGTAGTCAAAATCAATAATAAAAAATACAAAAAGAATAAAACAAAAGTCGAATTTAATATAAACTACTAAACTAAAATTAAATCCGTTATTCCTCGGCAACGGCGCCAAAAACTTGTTCGCGTGAATCTCGCAAGCGTACGAGTTCGTTGTACAAGTAATAATTGTGATGAGTGAGTTATCGTCCCACAGGGAATAAGGCTCAATTTTAGAGTATTCGATATATTTAAATTGGCAAATGTAACAAAAGATGGTTGATTTTTAGTTGACTACGTTCTATAACTACGAAAGTAATAAAAAAATGGTTTTAATCAAATGTGGGTGAGTGTATTGGATTTTCGACTCCACTAATCAATTCTTAATTTCAATTCTCAACCATTGATAATTAATTCGATTCATGCAATTGCGACGATCGATAATTCCACTTTCATTTACTATTCTTTCCCAAGATATAATAAATCTATGATTGCCACGAGACGATCATATTCCTAGTCCGAATTCATATGACAAGCAAGCATTGACGTTTAGGATTATCACACATGACCGCACACGCCATAAATATTATTCCTAATATTTATTGTCCGTGTGTTCCATAAACAGTGTTCTACCTACCGTGAGTTTTCCAACACTACGAATAAGCAACTAATTGTCATAATGGTACGCAAACATTAAAAACAATAAATTCATATATGTTTATGAAATCACAATGCAAGAATTAAACTAAAAACACATGATATCGAATTAAAAACTAAAAATTAATTAGCTTCATCATCCATCCAATACAAGGGAATTTAGCCTAGCATATTGTAGAAATTAAATTACACAAGAATAATTGGAAAAATATCACCCGAAAATAAGAAAGATGGAAGAAGTTGGAAAAATCCACGTTCTTGATGTGAAACTTGAATCCGGATGAAGAATCTTCAATATCCTATGCAATTCGCCTTGATTCCACGTTGTTAGCCATGTTCTTCGCCTCCAAAATATGTATAATATAGAGATTTTTAGGTCTAGGGAGGTTCTCCATATGTATTCTGCTGTTATCTCTTTATAGGAGCCGAAAATTGGTTGAAAATCACATCCAAATTAATTTCCAAAAGAGTTCTAATCGAATAAGGAAAGTTGTCTTCGCGCGCGAATTTTTTGTCTCTACACAACAGTCCGTATTTTAGTTATAACTTTCTCTCTTGATATCCGATTGATTCAATTCAAAGTGTGTTAGAAATATAACTCAAAGGGATACAACTTTTATAGAAATAGAGTTTTTCCAATTCTGACGTTTATTATGCCAAGAAGGGGTCTCAATACTCAGCTAAAAATCTGGAATATATTTTGTGCGATTGGAAATTGACTTTGATAATATTTTGATCATGTTCCATTCCTTTTTGAATTCTAATTCCATTCAATTGTCTCCTAGAAATCTTCAAAGTATCTTCTTGAGTATTTTCAATTTGATCCTCGAACTTTGGATTTTACCACTTTTGGTCATTTTTACATTATTTTCTCCATTTCTTCATCAAACATTGAGTTTTACCTACAAGATGCAATATAACATAATTTAGATCGTATTTTGCCAAAAATACAATAAAATATCATCATTTAGGATGTTGAATAAGTGTAGAAATTACACTTATCACTTCTCAAAGCCCGTTTTGTTGTTAAGGGCTACATACAAGTACCTGATCTTGACTACACTAACACTTTTAGCCCTTTCATAAAGGTTATCACAGTCTGAGTTGTCTTTTCTCTTACTATGACGAACAAATACTCTTCGTCAATTTGATGTCAAAAATGCATTCCTAAATGGCCATCTCACTGTGTACATTGATTCTCACTTTCCTAATCATGTCTGTCAATTGCTGAAAGCTCTATACGGTCTATAGCGAGCTCCTCGTGCTTGGTTTCAGTGCCTCAACTTTTTTCTCACTCAACTTGGTTTTTATTGCAGTCGTGTAGACACGTCTCTATTCATTTTTCATTAGCACTCCGACATAATTTAGCTATTTCTCTATGTTGATGACATCATTATTATAGGCAACAATTCTTCTCTTCTTGCTTGTTTCTCACTTGCAAACTCAATTCTGAGTTTGCCACTAAAGATTTGGGTCCTCTTAGTTACTTTCTTGGTCTTGAAGCTACGAACACCTCTGAAGGCCCCTTCATTAGTCAATTGATATATGCACAGGACATTCTCACATGAACCTAGCTACTTGACAGCAAACTTGTTCACATACGCATGGTTGTTTCCCAGCAACTATCTGCTGATGGTCCTCTGTTCTTAGATCATACCCTTTACGGATCTCTTGTCGGTGTTCTCCAATATCTGACAATCACTCGTTCGAATATTGCTCATGATGTCAACTGTGTCAGTCAATTTCTCCACTCCCCAACTAAAGACCACTTTCTTGTTGTGAAATGTATTCTTCGCTATGGTAAAGGAATGCTGCACTTTGGCCTCACTTTTCATCCATCTGTTGCTTCTGGTACTTTAGTTGCTTACTCGATGCTGATTGGGTAGGTTGCCCTAATACTAGCCACTCTATCTCTGGTTACTCTATTTATCTTGGCTGCAATTTGGTTTCTTGGAGTGCCAAGAAGTAACCTATTGTTTCTCACTCTAGTTGTGAATCTGAGTATCATGCTTTGGCTTGACATCTATGATGGTGGTGTTAATGTTCATGGTCGTGATAGTAGAAGTAGCGATAGTGATGGTGGTAGTCAGCCGTAGCAGTAGTGAAATAAAAGTGTTTGTTATATTGTGGCAACACTGTGAAGATGAAAATAGGCAACAAAATATATATAACATGTTATGTTACAAGTGGTAGTGGTGATGAAAATAAGTGGTGAATATAAACTGTATTTTGAGAATAAAAATAGGTTTAACATTCTTAAGCTTCGATCTATCATAAAAGGTGAACTCCACAAGGAGTTCTTAAGCTTTCAACCTATCATTTGTTGTACACATCCATAAATTTTTAAAATTGTAGCGCCCATGTTACAGCTAAAGAAAACATTTATTTTAACATTAGATATAAGGTAGCAATCATGCGTTGTCAAACTAAAAAAGTAAAATTGTCCAAAAAAACTCTTTTACTTGAAAGCAATTCCGCTAATAATTTCGACTTTTATTTAAAAATTCAAACTGGGTAAATTTTCCCAATGTTCATAAAACTTATCCATTTACTTAAATTTATCCCGGACTTCTCATAAATGGCATGAGATGATTTAACGTTTAAATAAATATTTTTTGTTAATTCGGGACATAGATATCATGAATATAAGTAAAACAAATAGTCATAGTTTGGTGGAAATTAAAATTTAGATTTTAAACTAAACCATTAATCCCACTATTTTCAAAATACATTTTTCTATCTTATTTTTAATCACACATTTTTTCATAAAATAATATTATACGTAAATTTAAAAAAAAAAAAATTTAAACTACACATTTCTTCATCAAAATACTATTTCAAAATATATTTTGAGCAAAAAATGGGGTTCAAACAGTTGTTAAATTAAAGTCAATAATTTATTTTAACCATACAATCAACAACTTTTTAATCATATACTTTATTAATTTTTATCAAAATCTATTAAAATTTTGATTTGATCTCCATGCAGGGACGGGTGGCACACTTACCTTTGGTTGGGACCTTGGGTGGAATTTTACACTCAAATAAATTGAGGGAAATGCCGGCTTGTCTTTCTGGTCTGTGCTCCGAAAGAAGCAAATAAATCCAATTTTTGGTCAAAATCATTTATTCATTCGTGAAAAGTATTAAGAGATACTGGAAATGGCGAATTCAATTGAAGTAAATGAACAAGAGCTTCCAACATCAGCGAAAATCTCAACTTTGAATTGTATCGATCTCTCGAACCCTGATATTCAATCATCCGTTTCCCTTCTCAAACAGGTACATGTATCTCTCTATTTATTTTCATCATCATATGTTATGCTTATTTGAATAGGTATTATTGGTGTACTTGCATATTCGTGTGTTGTTGTAATTTTAATCCTAGTTATACTTGTTGAACCACCTAATTTTAAATTGTTGACTGCAAAATCTGATAGGACTAAGCTACCTACAGACTTTGTTGGAAAATTGAAGAGAGAAGAAAGAGATGTAAACACAAACCAAAAAAATGAAGTAATGAACTGTGCTCAAACACGAATACGTTATGCTGTCGTTATGCTGTCCTGAAAATGATATTTGCCTTCTCTTGTGTGCTTTAGGATTTTTGACAAATAGTTTAGAGGATTGACAAGCCTTTAAGGAAGAAATACTAAAGCACAAGTAATTTTTCCAAAAGAATTTAATGAAAACTTGAAGATATTGAATTTGATAATTTGATGAATTGGAATAAGTCAATTTTTGTTTTTCATTTGTTTAGAGATGGAAATCTATCAACTATTTATAGATTTCCATCCACACATCACGAACATGTCCTACAATTCATGAAAAGTTTCAAACTTTCATGAATCAACACCAGAATTCTGATGGAAAACTCAGCCTAACGGCTATAATTTCCTACCATGCGAACGCATGGTTATATGCAATGCTTACACATGACAAGAGCAAATTAGGATCTGTAAATCAATCTGATTTCCATGCGTACGCATGGGTTAAATCCAATTAAATTTCCAATTCTTAAGTTGGGCCCAATTTGATCACCTTTCATCCATTTATGGGGCCCAACTACCCAACTAATATAATTTGTGAACAATTGAATATATAACGGTTGCTACCGTACACTATGACACCGTTAGCTTGCAAAGGCAACCATTGGTCTGAAGAGTCAAGTTAGTTGCAAGAAAATGGAAATACTAATAAATTAGGTGTGGGAGAGACAAAACGAACAGAGATTTGGCTAGGAGTTTGATTTTCATACATTTTTCTTCACAATGCATAGAGTATTTATAGGAAAACTAAGGTCAAGTGTCTTTTTGACCTTTTAGATTTCTTACGTGTCCTTGGCTTATTGTGAGGTTTTGTTATTAATAACTGAATCTCGCTTGATTACGCTTTACCTTTTTAACCGTTTTTGCAAATGTGACGGTGTCCCTTTTGCCACTCAGAAGAAAGAAATTCCACTGTCCCTTCTTTTGCGGCAGAGGATATGGGAACACATGCTTTTAGCTTCACCTGCCTTCCCTTAGTTTTATATGAAGTTTAAAGGATTTCTCCAAAGCAAATATGTTCGTCATTCGCCTTACTTATGGGGATGGTGAGGCTGAGGTTCACCTTCTTTCACCTAGCCGGGAGGTTCACTTAGATGCAAACCCCTCCTTATTGTTTTAGGTATGTAGCTTCATTCTTACCGAAGTGACTCCAGTAAGGCATATTGACATGGCCAGTACGTGACACGGCTTGCACATGGCATCCATGTGGAACGAGGTAATAACAATAGTCCTTCAAGTCCAATTCTAACATTTATATTGGGCTGAGGACTTCCTAAAGTTTACTTGATTTCTGTCTGATACCACCTCATCTTCGGCAAACCTAAATTACTCCGAGCTATGTATATATTGGACACAGAACTTTGATTTTGAAACTCGCTTAATTGCTAAGGTACTTCCTCGTCTTATGCAAGCCTGCGAATTAGTGATGTTATCCTCTCATCTCATACAAAGAAACAGTTACAAAAAATCATATGAAAACTTGACCATTTGAGAGAGGACAATTTATCTATTTAAATAAGCTTCAACATGTAAGGAGTGTGTAGCGTATAAATTTTCTAGTCAAAATGTTTTGACTAATGTACAATTTCTATAAATAGACTCAGAATTTGCTATATATATAATGCAAGCATGTAGTCTAAAAACTTGAGATGTTAGATAGAGTTATATTTATGTATTTGAATTTAGTCTGCGACAACTGTGTACATGAAAAAATTTGATGAAGTAAAGGGTAAGGTCAAGTATGGTTGCGTGCATAGGGAAGAAGGCTTTGTTTTTGTGTGGCATGTTTCTACTTGAAGACTGCTACTTACAAACATACATCTGAGATCCAGCAATTAGAGGAACTCTAAATGTTCTCAAATCTTGCTTGAAAACGTCTTCCATAAGCACCATAGACTGCCAAAGGTAGCTCTGGGAGATAGAAGTTAATAGTTGATGTATCTTGCCAAATACCTGTTCATCAAGTCCTAGAAACTAAAAATGTCGGGGGAACCTTTCATCTTCAAATGTTGTGCTTAGTTTGGACTTTTTCTGGGGGTAAGGGGCAGGGGGTTGGAAATGCAGCAGAGGGGGGTGGGGTCGTAGGGTGCGGGATGGAAACAAAGGAGGTAGGGGTAGGGGACACAGAGGGGCTGGACTGGTTGTAGGGGTAGGTGGTGAGGAATAAGATGTTGGAGGAATAAGATTGATAGAATTGTATTTTAAGATCTTAAGGACAAAGATTACAAGGTTAGTTTTATGCGAATTTTTCAAAAAAACCAAAAAAAATAAAAGACAGCCCTTTCATAATGACCATGATAAAAAAAAATGTCCACTTTCTTCGTATGTCAATTATCAAAATTAACCTTGCTAAAAATAGTTTTCACCTCATTGTCTTCTTTCATGAGCCTGACCCCTCATTCCCCCACCTCCTGCATTGCAGGCACCCCTTCCCCAGTTTTATGTTGCCTCTAACATTTACCTTCGTTTATACCCTCACACCTTCACCCAACGTGAGTTTGCAAGTCTCCTGAATTCTCGAGTAGCTACCCCAGTCTCCCTAACTGTGAGCTGTGATATCTCATGTGCTACCGAGTAGAAGCTTGGGAGTCTCTCATGAAAGGGGTTGCAGGGTGATGTGGGGGGAGGCGGAGGAGACATAGAGGGAATTGGCAAGGAAGAAGATGACACGAGGGTGTTTTTCGAATATCAATCGATAGGTGGCCATCTTCAAAGAATTTAGTCAGGGTATGTTTCATTTCCTCACTTTCCAACTTGGACCTTCCTCGACAAATATATGAAGTTTTTTCGTAACAATTAGGTTTTTTTATACTTGCCTTGTTGCCTTGAATTTAGGCATTTAAGTAAATTCCTCTAATATTATCTACATTATGTAAGTTCAATAGTTATTGAAGCACTCATTTAGTAAAATATGAAATCTGAAATTGGTCACGCTCTCCCCTTCATCAGTGACCGCAAATATGAGTAAAATTCCGCAAACATAGATCTTTGGATGATAAAATATGACGGTCATTTGAATGAAAGAATAAACAAGATCAGGATTTTGTTAATTAAATGAATAATCTTATATGATCTAAATGCTGTGATATCTATGAAATTAAAAAATATTGGATCATTTTAGACTCATAGTTAAGGGTCCGTTTGACTGACAAAGGTAGAAAGGCTTTCTAATTCCATGTAAGTTGGAAAATAAAAATCCAAGTATCTCATAGGAATGCATTTTCCATGAAATTGACAAAAAAACAAACTTAAAGTGGTTGTACCTTGGAATTCGAACTCAATTTACACTTTTGTATCAAACAGTCAAAATAGAAATTGAATTCCTCGAATGTGACATTTTCCATGGAATTTAAACCAATCCGACAGACCCTAATATTTGGTTGCCCAAAACAAGAATTTTATTCAACTCCATGTTTGTTTTTCGTTGAAATCTCATTTACATCCATTTTTCTTATCCCTCATGCGATACAGGTTCTCACCCTTGATTATTTATTTTCTCCTTATGTTAGTGATGGCAGCTATCATGTTATATCCTCACTAATTTATATCATGGTCAATAGGCTTGCTTAGACTCGGGGTTCTTCCATTTAATCAATCATGGAATTGACGAGGAATTTATGGATGAAGTTTTTGAACAAAGCAAAAGGTTTTTTGATCTACCAATGAAAGAAAAGATGAAGCTTCTAAGGAATGAAAAGCATCGAGGCTATACTCCTGTTTTTGATGAACACTTGGATCCTGTCAATCAAATTCATGGTTTGTTTTGCTACCATTGACACGATGCATGTGATTAATGACTTAATTTTTTTTATATACACACCCATTAAATGAATATGCAATCTTTGTAAGCATGTAGACATATAACTTTTAAAGGTTAGGCCTCTTTGCAATTCAAGCCCATAAATCCATGCTGAGAAGATAACAACAGATAACAACCCACCTTTTCATAATTTTTGTTTTTGCTGAATTTCTTTTGTTTAGCCATCAGTTTTTGTCTTCTACATGTACTATTTGCATAAACTTCAGATTTTCATGCTGAACGAAAGGATGCTTGTGCAATCGCATGAGTGCAGGGGACTATAAAGAGGGATATTACATTGGTATTGAAGTACCAGATGATGACCCCGATGCAAATAAACCATTTTATGGGCCAAATGTGTGGCCTCCTTCAGGTAACTTTTGGAAACAATTACTATTATACCAATTTTGGCAAGGTTTATTTTTGTTTTAAAACGTTTTGACTTTATTTTTTTATTCTTTTATCTATAAAGATATCTTACCTGCGTGGAGGGAAACTATGGAGAGATATCACCGGAAGGCATTGTAAGTTTTGTCTGGTCTGTTATTTATGAATAAGCAATAGTTACTGAGATATATTCAATTTTATGAAATCCCATGGCTGTAAATTCCTAACCAATTGAAACCCAAATCATTTTTATATTCTAAACATACCGTTTAAATTTTGTAACTTTACATCTTTTATAAATGAAAAATACAAAAGAAATATTAATTAACTCAATAGAGAATGTTCCCAACTGTTCAGAAAAATTCGTATGAACAAATTTCTTTTATTTTCTCGGCACATATGATAGTGCTCTGATTGTTTATAGTATGAATATAGTGATCCATTGTGCTAGCTCCTGGATGTCGATTTTGTTCAACTTTATATAACAAACAGAGGTCATGCAGCATCATAGTTTGGTGTTCTACTCGACTCATTTATCGCAGTATCACTGTTCAGACTTCAGTGGGATTTTCTTAGATATTAGAGCTCTCTAATTTCGCTATGCCTAAAAGTAAAGTAAAGCATTACGAGCTTTTAGTCTGGACTATCACTGATTCAGTTTTCTGTGTAGAAATTTAGTTACAATATTGAAGTTCACAACATCTATTATATATGAGCATATGAATTCATATATTTTTCTTTCTGTGAGAACATATGAATTATGCTGTCTAGATGTGGTTGGTTCATTGTATACGATGGGGAAAAGTATACCTAGGGTCACCAACCTTATTATTACTATGCACTTAGGTCCCTCAAATTCTTGACATTTTACCCAACCTTTCCTTTTTGTAGCACCTCGTACTTATTGGACGGTTTCCATACACTTTTGTGTTAAAAATGTCACTGGCGGAGCACGCTTGAAACATTGTTTGAGGGTAAAATGGTTATAATTTCAAAAAAAGACATAACAAAAAATGGAAAAGAGAAAGAAAAGGAAAAAAGAAAAAAGATATAACCTCCCCACCCTTAAACCCCCTACCATCCCACCCAGCTGTCTGCCCCAACCCCCCTGACCCCCACTCTGCCACCACTCATCCCCCCATTTCCCCTACCTCCTGCTCCAGATTGCAATTTGCAGGTGAGGGAAGGGGTGGCAGTCAGGGAGTGAAGAATTTTTTGTTATTTTTATTTTATTTTGCTTAATTGAAAATAAGAATATAATTTTCTTTTCAACAATATCTAACTTTTAAACAGTCAAAATGAACGGAAACCATCAGTGGTGACCCAAGTGCACATTTATGGTAAGGCTGGGAAATGCTGGTGTAATTTTATTCATTAAATATCTGTAATTTAATTCTGCTGTTAAATAAACAGAAATGCTTAATGGTCTAGATTCTTGAAGATAATGTGGATCTATTCTAGGCAAAAAAAAAAAAATGTGTTGATAAAATGCTAAGCCTAAGATGTTTGACAATAAAATCTACATGTCGTTCAGCAAATAACATTGATATATTAGTGCTTGGCCTTCTAGCAAGATTGTTTTAGAAACATAGACATTATTGTCAGTGTTCTGAACCTGTGTAAAGATAGTAACATGCATTTCCAGTTTTACATTCTTTAAAAGTTGAAAAGAATGATCCTTTTTTCTTAGTGATTCCTCTAGCATATGCTGTTCTTTGCAATTTTTGTGCACATTGCATTTCTTTTAAGTGTATTCTTCCTGCTACATTTTTCATCATGTACACAGAGATGTAGCAAGAGCAGTTGCAAGTCTCATAGCCCTTGCACTTGACCTAGATGGCGACTTTTTTGATCCACCGGAAATGCTTGGAAAATCTCTTGCAACCCTGCGGCTACTGCACTATGAAGGTAAGGACTTTTGAGATTCAATCCAGAGTAATCAGTTTCTTTGATGTAACCTATGCATTGTCCATGTTTAACTGAACTTCAGGTCGAACTTCGGAGCCTGCAAAGGGAATATTCGGAGCAGGCGCTCATTCTGATTTCGGTTTGATTACCCTTTTGGCGACAGATAGTATCTTAGGTCTTCAGGTACTCCAAATATGCAGTTTCTGATTCTGTATTTGATTTTTCTCCACAGAAATGTTGAAATTGTCATTATGTTTCAGATATGTAAAGATAAGGATGCCGAGCCTCAAGACTGGGAATACGTAGCACCATTAAAAGGGTAAAGCTCTGTAATCTCTATATATTTGCCTTCTTGGGAAGAAAAGTTCATGCCACTTTTGCTAGTCTTAGTGTTTTTCACTGATAATTTTTACATTTCTAAATTATATTTGTGGCACTTTCAGTCGGTCACTTTGGTTTTTGCTTGAGACCTCATCATTTTATACAGTTATTTAGTGGTAAGAAGTAACCTTTATATGTTTATAGTGAATGTTTTATTAGCTGATGCTACATTGCATCTTATAAAAGGGAGCAATAACCTATTTAAGTGAAGTATTTACTCCTGTATTGAGCAGTGTTATTATCTTTCCATCTTATGGTTTAAATCTAATTTTCAGGGCATTTATAGTGAATCTTGGTGACATGCTGGAGCGTTGGAGCAATGGTATTTTCAGGTAATGCTGAAATTGTGCAGGAGGTGACAGTTGAAAACATACTTTTGAAAATGGCACTGATTTTGTTGCTACCTTGTTTGTTAAGCCAATTTGCCCATTTCACCTTTCAACTTTAAGAAAGTTGTCCATTAAAGGCTGCATAATTATATATTATGTAAAATTATATTTGACAGCCTGATTTTAGTAATTTATTTGGTAATTTAACTATGGTGCAACATGTCACTGTTGAGTTTTCTCCAGAGATATTGCGCTTAACTGTTTTTGAAACTTTAGTATTTACTACAATTTTTTTTTTTTGGTCAAATAACGTTCTTATTTAAGCTTAACTTCTTTTTCTTTGATTCCATTCAGATCTACACTGCATCGGGTCTTGTGTCATGGCCAAGAAAGATATTCTGTAAGGACTTTAAGATTTCAAAATAATCTTTATATTTGGAATGCTAGATGAAGCCTTAGTATTTTACCTTCTACTTTGGATTTATCCATTATAATTGGGATGATCCTCCCAACCTTAATATTTTTCGAGATTAGTTATAAACCATCCTTTTGGCACCCAATTCATTGTTTCCACGTCTATGCACGCTTCATTGTTTGTTGGAAGGAATCGGAAGAAGAATTGTATTGAAGCTCCATTGCATTGCATTTTATTGGGCTTTCTCATGAGCACATGAAGATTTGTGGATGTTATTTAAATTTTGAACTAAAGCTAGTTCTTAAATGGAGACCATAACCAATAATTTGTAATATTTTCAAGATGTTCGTTATTTTTCCGTGGGACAAAGGTGAAGAGTAACACGGGTCGTGCTGCTTCTTGGCAGATTGCTTATTTTGTGGAGCCTGGTCATGATTGCATTGTTGAATGCTTGCCAACATGCCAATCAACGGAAAATCCTCCCAAGTAAGTACATCGATCTTCAGTTGAATCATTTTCACTCTTGAATAGATGAAACTATCCTTTCCATTGCAGATTCTAAATTTCAGTTATGTATATCATTATAAGGTTAGTGATTCAACGAGAGATTTTGACCTCACGTTGTGTAGAAATTAAATAGACGTCTGAGTCTCTTATTGTTTGTATTGAACTGTGATGCTTTTCTAGGTTCCCTCCAATAAAATGCGAGAGTTACATGCTACAGCGGTACAAGGATACTCATGCTGATCGTAACTCGTATAAATGAGAGCATGTTTCCCATCGTTGCAGGGGTGTTTTATGCGAGAAGATGAATGTAAATACTCTCTGCTAGTGTTGCATAAATCAAACTATAAAGTTTCCTTCGTAATTACTCATTGCTGGCATGTTTTCTTTGTATCAGAATGTTTCTTATGTACATAAAAATGAAAGTCAAAAGTTTTAGAATATGCACAATCAATCCTGAAAGACGAAGAATGCTTATGTAATCCAATAAGTTTTATAGGGCATGTTACGCAATACTAAATAAAACTTTTGACATTGTAATGAATAAAATTTTAATTTCTTTTTCTTTCTCGTTAGAGTTCGTTTCTATCTAATCCTCCTAGCAAACATGCCAATAATGTTTTGTCATTAGTACACAAAGGAGAAGAATATGTAAGGAGATGAGATACAAAAACACACTTCATTTTATTTCCGAATACTCAATTCTAGTTAACTCAGGTAGCATATTATTATTGGAGAATCATAATATTTGTAACTTTAATAATACCTGAACTTGATACACAGAAAAAGCTCCACAATAAATATAGAAGCACACTTATAAATTTGGAAACCAGCTGGTGGGCAGGGTACGAAATGATCATCAGGAATCGACCAAGATTCACCGGTAGGTTCTGTAATTTGGAGTGTACATGCAGCTTTCAGCATACTTGACCAAATCTGCAGGTCGAGGGAGTCTCGTTGCCACACCTAAATTACATGCAAATTGTCAAGGAGTTCTTATCTCAGTAAGCACACTGAAATAAAGGGAAAAAAAGGGCATTTACCGAGTTCATAAGCTTTAGCAGCTACATTAGCAGCAATATGAGCTGAGATCTTTCTTATGTTAGACAATGGAGGGTAAATCATTCCCTTATCGTAATGTTCTTGTGTTACTTGACCAGCCAATGCTTCAGCTGTTTTGACAAGATGCAGACGACAATAAAAGGATTAGCACTGTATTAGATATCATAAAAAGGTGACTTGTATGTACACAACCTGTAATCAGAGTAATCGTTACCCAAGAAAATAAGATAATTCATGACGAGAAACTATTCACTCAGCTGTGTACTTACAAGCTGCCAGGAGCATATCATCGTGCACGCGAATAGCACCAGAGATGACCAAACCAAAACCAAGTCCAGGAAATATATATGCGTTGTTAGCCTGAACTTACACAGAATGATTCTCAATCTGTAATCCTCCACAGTTTAAGAAAGTTGAATTGCACAAATCAAAGTCAAACATATATGTTACCTGCCCAGGAACGTAAGTTTTGCCATTGTATTCTACAGGGTCGAATGGACTTCCGCTTGCGAAAATTACACGACCCTTTATTGAAACAAGATGGAAAATACAAGGTGAAGTTAATTTTACTAAAAACACTAAAACTATGATGATATATCATCATAATAGCCATCTCTAGAAAATCTTAGTACTCATCTGACCTCAGTCCATGTGTAAGCTTCTTCAGCAGTGCATTCAGCTTGAGAGGTTGGATTGGAAAGAGCCATGATAAGAGGTTGCTGTGTATCATTTGAACCGTGATGAGATTAATCTGTGTAAAACATCATTGGGGAGAGGGAGAGGGAGAGGGAGAGGGAGAGGGGGAGGGGGAGAGAGAGGGAGAGGGAGAGAGAACCTTATTGAAAGCAGCCATAGCCTCAATCACTTCCTTTGTAAATGTTTTTCCGACACCAGATGTTCCAATTAAAGCTGTTGGCTTGATAGCCTAATGAAGTTTGAAGATGAAGCAAAAATAATTATACCCAGAAGTACAAGTTTCTGTCGAATTTAGAGATATACAGCATTCACCCAACCTTGACAGCGTCTAAGAGAGTATTGCAATGTTCATGCTCATGAGCCCATGGTTTCTTAAAATGTTGAAGAGATTCCTTGCGGGAATGAACTATTAAACCCTGCAAATTGTACACAAACATTAGTTACGTGAGAGAATACCTTAATGCTTCTAATCGCAGATAATCAACATATCTACTGATAAAAGGAGATAGTCAATGTATAGCCAAATATATGATCAGAAGTTACCTTTGAGTCTACCAGCCAAATCTTTTTACGGGTTTCTTCCACAGGAACTTTAGTCTATAGATCAAAAAAACATCACCAAGTGCCGAAAATCATATTGACAGTACCTTAAAAAATGTATGCACAAAAGACATACCTGCTTTGACATTTCAAGGGCTATAAGCTCTGCTATACCAGTACCAGCCTGCAATTACAAGAGAAAGCATGAGCCAAGTATGCAAAAATCTGATGGAAAGCCGAGACTAATAATTATCAAGAGAAAACAAAAAGGATCTAGAACATGGGCCTAAACAATCTGTAGAATGTCAAAAGTTACTGTCTTTGTTAGATTTTGCTGATTTTTGTCATTCTTGAAAGTCAAATAACTAAAGGCTTGCTAAAAATAAAGCAGGGTTAGAACTTTACTTCTCCTGCACCAAGAAACAAGAATTTGTGGTCACCCAAAGTACCCCCAAGTAGCTTAAGTGACGCAACTAGCCCAGAAAGCACCACAGATGCCGTTCCCTGCAGTGGAAGGATCAAGATTTATAAGATAGGCAGGATTCTTGCAATAATATTAACAACCAATTACCATATACCTGTATATCGTCGTTGAAGACCAAATGGGTAGTGCCATATTTGGCCAACAGCTCAAAAGCATTGTGGTTTGCAAAATCTTCAAACTGTAATTTCAGTTACAAATTGTAAGTTAAAAACAAAGGACTCTGAAATGGGAATACTCTTGCAGGTAATTAGGGATTAATAACCTGTACAAGAACTTTTTCGCCATAATTTTGCTTCACAGCAGTCATAAATTCATGTAAGAAGTCATAATATTCCTGGAAATAAAAATGTCAAATTCAGCGTGTAGTCTTTCTAAGAAATAGAATCCCTACAAGTTGAAAAACTGGGGTTGGAGTAGTTCAGAAGAGTTTAAACGTGTAACCTTCCCAGTCGCCCTCTTTTGTCTGAGCCCAATGTAAAACTCATCCTTAAGTAGCTTCTCATTATTTGTCCCCACATCAATGGTAATTGGCAAACACTAGAAACAAAGTCAAAACTTGATTAGAACTATAAAAGTATGTCTGGTACGCAAGATACGATAGTGCACCACAATGAACGAGATAATAATATTTTTTCCACCATAGTACTGTACAATACTTTACATTCTGCCTCAACAAGCAAGGCATAAGTGGATAAATGGTGGCAAAATCGTAAGAATAAAGGATTGTAATCACAAGCTTGCTCAAGCTCGGTACTAATAAACAATGTGATAGAGTTTGCCAAAATAGTGTCAAACATTGAAGGAGGAAAATGAATTAAGTGCTAAAAGTAGCTTTCTCAAATGGTCTTCCGCGTGTGTTGATGCTTACCGCAGAAGGTCTCACACCTCCTAGTGCAGTATACAAAGCCAATTTTCCTACTGGTATTCCCATCCCCTGCAACATACTCAAAAATGTCATTAAAGACTATCTACTATAATTCGAATGGGTTGCATTTATGACATAAAAGAGACGGAAAATCCGATTCCAAAAGAATCACCTGGCAGCCAAGATCCCCGAGTCCCAAAATTCGCTCACCATCAGTCACAACAATAATTTGAATCATCCTCTCAGGCCAATTCTTCAATACCTCAAGAATCTTTCCCCTACACATGCCGCGAACTCCAAGTGTCAGTTGAAATTACCTTATGCATAGACTACAGAATATTACTTATAACATAAATCCTACCTCTCTTTCAAACTTATATATAAACCCTGAGGACGCTTAAAGATGCTTCCATATTTTTGGCAAGCCTCGCCAACTGTTGGAGTGTAGACAACTGGTAGGAGCTCCTCCACATTATCAATGAGAAGCTTGTAAAACAACCTCTCATTTCTCTCCTATAAACCCCAATGATATCAGATTTCAGAAAATAAGGAAAAAGAACAGATCGTGCAAAAGTCATCCCCTCGAGCATGTTTCGCTAAGTACCTCGAGTTCCATCATAGCCATGTATTTGTGCAGAGGAACATCATACTGGCGGATATTATGCATTAATTTTTTCTCCTGATATATCAAATCAAGAAAGTAAGCTAAATAACAAAAGATGACAATACCCGAATTGATGTAATTTATTTATTTTTACCTGAAGTTTTTGTGACATAACAGCTGGAGGCAAAAGACCGCGCAAGTAATGAGCATCTCTCTCTTTCTCCGTAAATGCAAGCCCCTTGTTGTGATGCGGATCTCTCAGCAAAGTACATCCACTGTTGTACAAAATTCAATGAAATATAAAGATCAACTTCAATAATGTCTATGATTGATGAATCGCCGACTTCTACATGTTCATGTTCATGTCCATAGACCATAGCAGATTATAATTTCATTAAAACTCAGATCCATAAAGATCAGATCATTTAATTAGAAATTCAACTATATCAAGCTTTTAGCTTTAACTTTAGATTTAACAAACCATTCCAGCTCAAAAATTAACAGATTGTCAAAATCAAGTTGGACAGTAATAAAGAAGTTAAAATCTGAGTATTGTGTCGAATCTGCATACCAAACATGTCCAAAACGTTCACCAATTATCGAGAAAAATAAGCATAAACTCACCATCAAAACAGAAGAAAGTGCTGAAATTTCAGGGCTTTCTAAGAATAAAACATAACGTGAAAATAAAAGAGAAAAAGTTCAAGAAGTAGAGTACTCTACCTAGCAACGGAAATAGTCCAGGGAGTAACGAGCTGATCCTCGGTGGCACGATCTTCACCGTAGACATCCTCTACTCCTCCTCCAACCGTCGATCTCGGGCTCAGGTCCAGAACCAACTCTCCTCCTCTCTGCTCCTTCAATGTACTCTCCATCTCACTCTCTCTCTCACTCACAGTTTCTGTTTATTCTTCTGAATTCTGGTCCAAATGTGCATTAATAAATAAATATCTAGCGATAAAGTTGGTAAGGTCATTCTTATCTGGACACAAGTTTCAGAGTCAATGCCACATGGCTGGCCTACATATGAAACAAAGACTACAAATGTGTACAGTGTACTTAGACGATAGTGCTATGTGTTTTGGAGTACAATAATAAAGTTTGTTGGTCTTATGATTATGTCCTCCTCAATCATCTCCATAATGAGCCGACATGATTGCCTAAACTCGTAAATTTCATCCCTGGTCACTGAACTTCATCACTTTGCCATATTTTGTCGCATATGAACTTCACCGCTGTCATATTTTGTCACGTATCGTCTTTCAGTTTGATAGAATTATCTAGTTGGAAATCATATCATGATTGATCTTTCACATAATTTAGAAAGGGCAACAATCATCCCCATTCCCCTCGCCTGTTCGGGTTTTCCCCCTTACCTCACTTACTGTCTCATTTATTTATTTACTTATTTTATTTTTTCACGTCGTTAATTAGTAAAATTATTATTACTTTTTTTTTTTTTCAATTTTTTGAATAAGCCATGTTATCTTTAGGAAGGATGACTTTTTTTTTTTTTTTAATCTCAAAACTTATATTTTGAAATGAATTTTAAACAGGACGGAGATCGTGTTCCCTGTACCCCAAGACAATGACCCAACCCTCGCCCCCATTTCGAGTACTGTATTGAACAGACAAATGAACCATACCTCATATCTCGTATCTATACATTATCGTTGTGAGATGATTAACATATATTAATTTTTCAAAAATATTGATTGTTTATTATATGAAATTAATTCATATTCTTGTGGTGGTGTTATATATATATATATATATATATTTTTTTTTTTTAATTATACATGTAATTTAACTGTAAATATAATTATTTTACTCATTAATCATGGTCTATATATTTTGAAATACGTGTTCGTAAATTAATATTATTGAGGATTGCTGTGAGGGAGACTTTATTAATTAAATAATTATGATTAGTTAGGTGGACCATTTAAAGAATATAATTGACATTAAAAAATCACTATGAATTTTATAATTGTCGTCACTACATGTTCGTGTTTATTTTATTGAGTTTAATATACCATCGAGGGAATATTTAGATAAGATTATGAGCAATTATATTTGCAATATAATTTTAATTAGGTGCATAGCATTTTAATTCTACTTAAGATTATTAATTTTTACTCAATTGCTTATTTTTTATCTTAACGTTACATCGATAAGCATATCTCATCTAATGACATTTTCCATTCAAAAAGTCCGTTGTTAGAATGTAAAATGACTTCTTTGCCCATCATATTTTAAAAATAAATAAATGTAAAAGTACAGCAAAATATTTCTCCTCGATTTAAAATGCAGAAACATAAAATTTTGAAAGAAACCATCAAGAATGAAATGTGCTGATTAACAAATGGTCGAAGGTAGAATTCATCGAAAAAATAGGGATATAAATGTTACAGTAAATAGATATTATGATCTTAAATGCCATCAAAATGTAGTTTAAATAATAGAAATTTATGGTGAGAAGATAATTATTCTAGATTAGATTTAATTATTGTTTAATTAATTATATAGATATTATTATTATTATTATATGTATTACCGACACATTGTCGAGGGTGACAACCATCATATAACCCTTTTTCTTCCTTACCCACGTTACAGAACATGTGTAGCTGTATTTTACCCGTTATCTTTTCAGTGACAAATAAAGTTAAAAACATAAAAATAAAAATAAAAATGAAGAAGAAGAAGAAGAAAGAAGAAGAATTTGAAGGGATTTCAAGAATTTTGTTAATAAGAATGAATCGAGAATCAATTGTAGAACTTCTCAATCGAACCTTACTAGAGAGGTGTCTACGTATCTTACAACAGTAAATCGAGAAAATGTAAACTTATTTCTACTTTCCAATACTATCCAATATTGTGTAATCCAACTCATTAATCGAATACCAGCATATTAGAACTTCATTTCGACAAGCTTAAAAAAGAAAGAGAACAAATGAAAATAGTAAAATATACAGCTGGAGGCAAGACAACTCAGTACCCAAAATGTAGCAGATATCACTTTCACATACAAGACCAATTTATAAACACTCGAGCTACTTTTATTTTGAGGGACCCACAAATAATTAACTACTTATTCAACACTCATTTTTGTATAATTACAAACGAAACCATATTGTCCAACTGCTGAAAATCAAATTATGAACAAAATAATATATGCATTATTCATTTTAGTTCTTGGCTAAAAGCAGCATTTACAACTTATATGATCAAACTTAAATACTAGGCTGTGGTTTACACACAGACGCTTCTCATCAAACATGAGTAAGGTACGTAAGAATCACACAAAACCTCGTATCTCTAGCATGTTAGCTACCACTAAACAAACTAAGCATGCTAGAAGTCAGTTACGACCGCTTGGAGGGGCTAGTCAACCCATGTATAAACCTTGACATGTCGGTTTTTTGAGTATAGAACATGAATCTCCTCGAGTAAAAGGTTCACCAAAAAAATCATAATCCTCAAGACCCACAAAAAAGAGAACAATAATGACAAAATTTTAGACCCTTTTCCACATCTAATAATCTCAAATAGCAGACGAGGAAATGACATTTTGAGATCTAAAGGCAACTATGCATGGGACCTTGCAGCTAGGTCCATCAAGGTAACGTTTGGTTGGCGAGTCCCATTGACTCTGCAACTTCTCTGGAAGTAAAAGTATCTGCTTGCTCCTGCTTATTGCATAAATCGCATGTCAAATGATTATAACGATAGATTTTAATCTCCCCGAGTATAATGTAAGTGGGTAAACATACAAGTGACTAGATTTATGTACCTGAAGGCGATGCAAGAGATACATCAGGAAGAGATGCACAAACACCTGTCAACATAATCGCATTATATCATGTAAAATAGAGTGCGACTTTACTAAAACAAGTGGAATCAGGTGCAATGAAAGGGCACAGCGGAGTGTCAGAAGTGTGTGTTTCGCTTGGTCTCTTAATTTTTGAAGCTCTGCTATAAAGAAATACAACTAATAAGGGCAACTTAGAGTGGTCTCTTGATCTCACTTGTCAAAGACTCGACAAGTGAAGTGTCCTTTCGGTTTCCCCAGTAACCAATTTATTAACCTCTTTACAGTAATAACTAGTCAGTAAATTAGAAAGCCAACAATCATATCAATTTTTCCCAAATTTTAGGTGGCGACGTGCAAACACCAAGTACTTAATTTCTTGCATTCAAGATTTTTACACTGGCACACGAATCAAGTTGGGTAAATGGAGAAAAAATAGAAAGGAAAATTTGAATAATGCTTAGTGACAAAGTATTACTTAAATTGGTTGTGGCCATACAAATAGAGAAATGTAAAGCTGAAGTTAATTTGATGAAAAGATGAAGGTTTAGGGACATTCTGGAAAAAAGAGGGGTCAAACGAAAATCTATGTAAAAAGTCTGCAGCTAAAAGACAAGGATATGAGCAGTGAGAGCACTCTGGGTCTGTAATCTAAATAAAACACTAGGTCCCATTAACGGACAAGAAAAGACTGCCTCTATAAGATTATAGTTTCACAGCTCAAATTACTATCAGGAAATACAGTACAGAAGCAACCAGGATGATGGTTTAGGTATACAAATCCCATGGCACACAACTTAAGCTCCAGCAATTGCAACCCTAATGATGAAAGAGTCTTCTTTTACTTCATTTCCATTTTTCTATTCCAAGTCTCTTTTTCTTCTCATCTGGCAACTTGAGTTCGTGATGCATGGTGATGATTAAGGGCACAGTGTCCAGTTCATGTAACTCATTTCCAAAACATAAGAAAATGTCATAGAAACAGGAGTTTAACTGTTCTCACCAAATAGAAAAGCAGGATAAGTCGAGCAGTTGGATACCGCCACAGGAATCTTGTGGCCCTGACAGCCCCAGTATCTAAAAGCTTGGCTGCCTTCTGCAACTGCCAAAATCCAGCATGATCAAGAAATAATTTAAAGAAAAACTATAGAAAGAAAAGAGAACGACAACCAACTATACCTGTAAGCTTGCCCCAGCCATATGGCGATGATGCAAGGGGAGAGGCCTGCAATAGTAGAATGTCAAACTCAAGAAAAACACAAATGAAGTAGAAAAGAAAAATATATGTTGCATTTCCGCCATTTCGGATTTATTTAGATCTTAAATCAAGTGTTTAAATGGGGCTATTCGCATATCTACTGGAGAAGAGTCAGTCCCATTACCCATTATAATTGAAACATAACCCGACCTCTGTACCACACATTTGTGAAATAATGTAGTAATTTTCACATAAAATTGACAGATCTGTTCCTCTATAGACATTACTGTTTAAATAACCTTTTTCTTTTGGCAAAAAAAAACTCAAAAAATTGTTGTACAGAATATATGCATGACTAAAGGAACCACTGCAAACATAAGTAACGCACAGAAATTTAGGAGACCACATGCTGTTCTTAAGAAGCCCACTAGAGTCTTTGCTCTCAATTCTGTTTGTGATCAGTTCATTAGAGTTCTCTAACAGGTTTTGCTTTTGTTTTAACTATCAGGAAATTAATAACATAAAATTTTAAATAAACCAGCATGTGCATTTTATTCAGTTGTCTCATTAGGCAGAATTGGTGTTTCCATACTAATAGTTCATTGTTAATGTATACCAGCACCCTAGTCCATTTTTCATCTTTTTGAGTAAAAAATGACCATTTGAGCTATCTTTAGAACACCTAAAATCCTAGAAGTCTATTTCCCTTCGAAACTATTGCCCTCTCTTCATACATATATTATACAGCAGTTTAACTGAAGTACATAATCTGATAGCAAGAAATTAAACAAGGGCACATACTCAAGTGCTTTCATGTCAGCATCTTCTTCCCAAGAGGATGATGCTCGACGAGAAGCTCTGCTTCTTTCAGCTTCTAACTGTTTTGAACAATAAGTTATATGGTGATTGTGAATTACACTCCACATACACAAGTATAATCATGAACGAAAATGATAACAAAATTTAAAACAAAATTGGCCACGTGCAGACCTGTGCTTCCTGAAGCCGCTTTACTTCCTTTTCCAACTGAAACTCAGCTGCAGCCTTTTCACTAGCCATGGTTTCCAGCTGTGTTTGCTTGTAATACTGAAAGCCACATTTAATAGTTGGACATCAAACAAGTTGTCATTGGCTGCTAATAGCAAATGACAGAGACATGAACATTATAGCTAGAACTACCAATAGATCAGTGAGTTCCCGATACCGTTTCTCCAGCTCCACGTGTTCCTGCTCAAAGACAGCCACAATTTTCATGTTTGATTACCGAGCAAAATGTTGAACATATAAGAATACATCATATGCAATGACTTATCTTCAAAAACATCATCATCATAAAATAAAACTAAGACTTAGTCCCAACAAATTAGAGTTGGCATCACAATTTCTTTTTTGCCACCCAATTAGGTTCATGCCACATCTAGAAGAACAAAAGCAACTAGATCTTTAGCAGCTGCAACATGTCATTTTAGATTTAGTTTACCTTTCCCTCTTCTTCATGTTATACCAAAATGCATCTACAATGGTCAACTTTCGAGAGGTAAACTATGATAAAAACTTTAGAGTGCCTATCAATACCCCGCCCTCAAAATTCACGTTGTCCTCAAGGTGAAAATCGAGAACTTGTAGCTGGAGAAGTCCATAAACCAATCAACCTTGCCCAGCATCCAACCTTCGACATCCTACGGTTGATCTACTAAAGGTAAGATATCCACGATAACTCCGTAATCGGTTGCAACAATTTTAGAATTTTCAAACTGTGAATTAAGCAAATCGAAGTAAAATTTTGATCACGTCCATTTGCGCAATCCTCTTGCTTATTTCCATAATATTTGGATTAGTGAGGCCCACAATTGGGTTGGTGGTGAGCTCAATGGTGTCTGCCCCTTTCACCTTTTCTCCGATCCCTAGTTCTGCCAAATAAATATCTACCACCAATACAAGTAGCGATATGTTTTTGCAATGATGGCCCACCAACTTTTTTCATCACATCGAAAGCAAATCTCATTTTCCATCTTCAATTAAAGTTCTAAATTGTTAAGTTTTTTTAAGGTAGAAGGATTCTGCAAGTCTAAAAATTTGGGGACCACTGGCGCAAATTTTGGGACTAAGCTAGTTAGAGTTTGGATAGTTTCATGATAGCCCTTTTCTCTCTATCTAGACCTTTTCCTCTAGTTGAGTTGATTGCTCCATGGATCTGTTTGATGAAATTATTACCATCTTCATGGGTCTCTTTAAGGAAAGAACTATACCATTGCCCATATTGAGTCGATTGCTAGCACACGGGGCATTGCATGCGAACTTGAAGCTGAACTACTATGTTCAAATGGTAACATATTTTTTGAATTTAGGTTTAACCAGAATTTAGGTTTAACCATAAATTTACACATTAACCATCACTTATCGAATATATTTTATTATAATGCCCCTCATTGGGGGAAATTTAAATCAACAATAAATTTTACCACACGTTTCATGGATCCCACAACTTTTCAACAAAATATTTTATTCAATTTTATCAAAATCTACTAAAAATCTGATTTTAAATCCTACCATACATGGGCATGGAAAATATATGCATCTTTTTTCCATAAAAAACTGCACTTTTTAAGTGTATGTTTGTCTAATTTGAATAATATTACAAATCATGTATATATATTTGAAATAATATTTTTCAAGAACCANGTGAGCTCAATGGTGTCTGCCCCTTTCACCTTTTCTCCGATCCCTAGTTCTGCCAAATAAATATCTACCACCAATACAAGTAGCGATATGTTTTTGCAATGATGGCCCACCAACTTTTTTCATCACATCGAAAGCAAATCTCATTTTCCATCTTCAATTAAAGTTCTAAATTGTTAAGTTTTTTTAAGGTAGAAGGATTCTGCAAGTCTAAAAATTTGGGGACCACTGGCGCAAATTTTGGGACTAAGCTAGTTAGAGTTTGGATAGTTTCATGATAGACCTTTTCTCTCTTTCTAGACCTTTTCCTCTAGTTGAGTTGATTGCTCCATGGATCTGTTTGATGAAATTATTACCATCTTCATGGGTCTCTTTAAGGAAAGAACTATACCATTGCCCATATTGAGTCGATTGCTAGCACACGGGGCATTGCATGCGAACTTGAAGCTGAACTACTATGTTCAAATGGTAACATATTTTTTGAATTTAGGTTTAACCAGAATTTAGGTTTAACCATAAATTTACACATTAACCATCACTTATCGAATATATTTTATTATAATGCCCCTCATTGGGGGAAATTTAAATCAACAATAAATTTTACCACACGTTTCATGGATCCCACAACTTTTCAACAAAATATTTTATTCAATTTTATCAAAATCTACTAAAAATCTGATTTTAAATCCTACCATACATGGGCATGGAAAATATATGCATCTTTTTTCCATAAAAAACTGCACTTTTTAAGTGTATGTTTGTCTAATTTGAATAATATTACAAATCATGTATATATATTTGAAATAATATTTTTCAAGAACCAATGAACATCTCCTCTGGGACGGTAATATCTTGTGGTGGTTGAAAATTGTTCTTTATATGTAAAATTAATAATAAGGCTGTTGACATACAAAAATGAAGCCAAACTAAAAGAGGTCCATTGATTAAATGAGGCTCAATTATTAAGTCAAGCCCAATTATGTAGTCCAAGAAATGGAACCTAATTAGGAAAATTGAGGACTTAGCCCAAATAAGACCATTGTAAAATCTAATGACAGCCCATGAGCAGAGGACTATCATCACCCAAGCCTGCAGAACGCTCAGGACCTAAGAGAATAAAGTCTCCTATTGTCGCTCAGAACGACAGTCTCACTCTCTCCCAAGCCTTCGAGACGCCCAATGTCTGGATGAATATAGCGTTTTGTTCAGTAATTGAAGTAGTTATTGAGCAACTTTATCACACCCCACGATCCAAGAATCTCGGTTACAAACGGTCAAACAACGAGAGCACTAACAACAGTTGCTAACGACAGTTCCGTGACAAGTCAGCCATCATGAAGAAAGTAGGTAGTTATAGAGTACCAACCAATTTCCAAATAGTTTTACAAGAAGAAATCAGCAAAGGAGTATAAAAAGGAAAAGAAGTCATAGAAGAAAGGACCCCGGATCAAACACTCTCAATCGAGAATATGTAATTTCAATTCGTTTACTTTATATTTGCAAACTTTCAATTTACTTCGTATACTTATGCCACTTGGAGGCGATTTGCTTCTTTCCAATTATAATCTTCATAAATAAAGCACCATTGTTTGGGACTTTGTCGCAAAAGTTTTGTTCCTTACACAATCGTCTGAACATTTCTTTTAATTGTTAGCGATAATCCACGGGAAACAATTTGGCATGCCCAATGGGAATTGGTGTTTGAAAATACTAAAAGTGAAGCATTATGCCTCATAAGAATTCTGATAAAGAACCAGCAAGCCAATGAGTAGTCTAGTCTGTGATCAAGTAATATGAGGAGCATTAAAGCTCTCCACGAACAGATAGATGGAGTCAAAGTAGTTAAAGTCCTTACAAGCCAATGACAGAGTTGAGTACTCTAACCATGAGCGCATTGTTTGGGAAACTCACACAGGATGTCGTTGATTAGGTAAATCTACGAAATGTTCACAATATGGAAAGATTTACCCAAAATGGGAACGCACATTATGACAACATGGCCAAACAACTAAATGCGTTGAATGAAATCATGAATAAGTTAGTGGGCCAAATATGTCAACCAATTGAATGAAATCATGAATAAGTTAGAGACTCACTTTCAAAGCAGGATGATTGTGGGACATAATTCCCCAAATTCCCCTGGTTTGAACCCAGGTCAATGGTTATAACCAACCTTCGGTCTATCTACTTCACACTAGGGGTAGTGGAATGTCAAACTTGAATGGTGATAATGGGATGACAAACCTGGGGGGGTAATCTAAATATAAGAGACAATGTCCTAAATAATTGACATAACATCCGAGGTGTTAATGATGGAATAAAGACTCAGGCTAACGGTAATAATGGCCCAAACAATGACAATTTTGTTACCAACCAAGGACCAAATATTAGACCTCAAGTAGATCAACCAATGAACCAACATGTAGGAGTTCCATATGATCCCAAGTCATGTTGAGGAATCAAATTATAGAAATAGTACAGGATCAAATGGCTTTTGGGGTACGTTCTGTTATTAGGCTAACTTACACAAAACCATATCCTGATTGGGTAGATCAAGCACAACATGGCCTAGAGGGTACAAAGTGCCAGAATTTTTATTATTCATTGGTTTAGGAGAAGTGTCTACTCTGGAACATATAGGGCGATTCACACTGCAAAGTGGTAAAGTAACTGATTATCATAAAATGAGGTTGTTCCCTAGTTCGTTAACAGGAGTAGCTTTCTCCTAGTTCATTAATTTGTCAGCAAACTCTGTTCAAATATGGTAACAACTAGAACAATTGTTCCACGCTCAGTTTTATAAGACTGCATTTGAAATTACTCTGGCCGATTTGGTGAATTTATGTCAAATGCCAAATGAATGGGCAGAAGGTTTCCTTCAAAGGTTAAAAACAGTCAGGAGCAAATGTTTTGTACCTCTGCTCGAGAAAGAATTCGCCAAAATCATTCAAAGCTGTTTGAGCTTTGATTTGAAAAATAAATTTCGGGACAGGAAATTTCCTAATCTTTTCCATCTTAGCACGAATGTGATTAGGTATGAAAGATTGATAAGAGAAGAAGAACAAATGAAAAACTCTAGTAAAGAGACTTATTATAGGGATCCGAATTTTGACGTTCATACTATTAACAACGAATATTATGATCAAACTGAAGTGTGTTTGGCCGAACTAATTAAAGGAGATGCGTATGTCTGTCATATAATGGCCAAACCCAGAGTATCGGGCAAGAATGAGCCTATAAAAGATCTTTTGTTTTTTCCATCTAGCAAAAAATTTGATGTGGCCAAAACTGACCTTATATTTGACAAATTGTATAAGGATAAGCAGATAACATTGAGCGATAAGCATAAATTGCCAGACCCTAAGCAAATTAAAGGTAAAAAATATTGTAAGTGGTACAATGCATGATCACATATGACTAATAATTGCTTGGTCTTTCATCATATGTTACAGGATACTATTGAGTAAGGGCTAATCACATTCCAAAATAAGAATAAAATAGCAGTGGATGAAAATCCTTTCCCACGGCCACTTGGGGTGAACATGGTG